AACACGTCAGGTCTGATTCTGTTGCAACCAACACCAAATTTGAATAGTTCTACAGTTAGTAACTCTCCCAATTTTCTGCTCTATCCTTGCTTTTGCTATTAACCCATCTTTGCACATTTCCACGTATTTCTCAAATAAATCAGTCTGTGTGTATTAATTAATAATGGAAAAATGGGTCCCAGACCCCAGAGCACATATCATATCAATTACCAAATAACATCAGTAGTAACAGTACAGCACCCAAAAACTCCCAGGAAGGGAAAAAAGGGGTGTGGAGGAGATGAAAATTAAGATCTTAGGAGGAAGAAAAAGAAAATAGATATCCTTTTAAAATGTGCTTGCTGACTGTGGTTTATTTTGGCTCACAGTGGGGTTTAGCTTTATGATTACTAAAGGTGTCTATAGATGTAAGACTGTGGCAAGTAGCCGCAGTCAGGACTGAAGTGTTACAAAGACCAATATAGAAAAGCTTGTTCCTTGCCTGCTTGTAGCCTCCTCTCTAGACAGAGGAATCACTTGCAGGCACACTGGATTAACTTCCAAAAGGGATCTAAACTACAGTCTCTTTCAGTGGCCTAGAAGATTAATAACACATTAGCATCTTGGGCAGTCAAGTTAGCAGGAAGCATTAACTTTGATTCCAAAACCTGATAAAGTTGGACATCCTGCATAACTAAGAACAAGAAACAGAGCGTACTAAGTAGCTCACCTTTAGGACTTCCTCAGAGACATCTTTCTCTAGTTCTTCCAAGAACAGTAAAAATTCAGTCTCTCTCTGAAGAACAACTGGAACAGTTTTCTAAAACAATGTGAGAGAATGGGAAAGATGTTAGCCAATAAAACTTTCATTTATTTACCTGACCATATAAACCTAATTTTAGCTTTTTCATTAACATTTTGAGGCAGACTGAAATATCTCTCTGAAGACACCTAATTCTCAATTAAAGGCTATTCCACAATTAGCTTCTGCTCCCACACCCATTGATTCCATTTATCTATACATTTGGAAACAGAGACAAGTGTCACTTTGTCAAGAATTACAATCCCATCAATTAGAGACATCTTTCCTCAGAATGTAAAGAAAAAATGCAAGTCTAAGTAGTTACAAGGGCAAATGAATTAAAAAAAAAAAAAAGTAGGATCACACATCCCAGCGTACCAGTTAGGGAAAAGAAAAAAAAAAAAAGGAGGAAAAAATACGAGTTTCTCTTTTACTCATGAAACAATGCACCTGTCTGAAAAAAGCAAGCACTTCCTACACCTTCTAAAGCTTATACAGAATTGTCTGATTCCTGAGCTGTTTCATCTTTAACATAAGAAAGGTGCCACACAAATGCAGAAGTCAATATATTCATGCTTTCCATTTAAAGAAATGCTCAATGTTAAAAAGTCAACTTCTGTTACCCAAACAAACAAAAAAAATCCTGATTTCTCTCTCTAGCATGGAGAAGACTAACAGTTGTTTTTTGAAAAGTTTGTTAAAAGCAAAAGCAACGCACCTCTCCAACTACCTTAAGAACTTAATTCCATGAAACATGGGAAAGCCTGTAACTTAAATAAGCAACTAGTCAGACATTTTGCACTTGGAATTCAGCTCGAAGTCAGAGCCATAAGTCACACTTGTAAGTCAGCTAGATGTTTCTGTACCTGATTCCTGGCAAGCCATTTTTCCAGCACAAGAAGCCAAAGCCATGCAGTTCTCCATGGGCTAGAATTCTGTCCCCATCTACAAAAGTAATAAACACATACACTGGATTATGCAAGGTTGTTCCCATCTCTAAGATCTGTGAAAACACTGTCATTTTGATTTTTATATTTCTTTGTGTAAGATAAGAACAAAGACGACTAAATAGCTGAAGACAAGTCAGACATGAAGAGAATGCAGAGAAACCAGAATATTTGTACTACTTACACATTAACTCGACGATTTCTGCTGTGAAAATAACTGCTTTTAGATCTGCCAAATACCAACACTAATGCCATAGTTCTTTTCTTCAAAACAACAAAATCTATTTCTGGTCTGAAGTTCAGACTGTATAGCCCTCTTTGAGCACTTCAGCAGATTTCTTTGAAATCTGACCACTTGCCAAACACTGCTATTTCCTGTTCTGTCTAGTTCTACCCGAAAAAAAAAAAATTAAACTAAGTTTTAGGTCACAAGTGCAGCTCTGTGTCCAAATTAAAAGTGCAGTTACGTACTAATTAAACAAAGAATACTTCTAATTTCTACTGGCTTATCATGTGCTTCAGTACCTATACACACATTACAAAACCTATACTGTTAGTGAACATATTCAGTATTGTCAAAGGGACTAGGAAAAAGTATGAGATAGTTTATTTGCCTTTAAAAATCTCAGCACTGCTAACTAAAGCCTTTAGATGTGATAGCCCAACTATCAAAGATCAAAAATGGTTCTCTCTCACATGGCCATTAGCAATATTCATCTAACCATGTGCACACCTTCCTCCAGACTTCTTTAACTGTTGTCAGTGTAAACTTTCTTAGAACCTTTACCAAAATGTTACACAAATGTTAATGTGAAGAAGTATGATCATTTGCTTGCAGAGGGGGAATACCAACATTCCCTGAAGTGCTAGAAAGTCACCCTTCATATGCACCTACCTGAAAAGCAGAGATCAAAACTAACTAGGATCGAGTAAAACCAATGCCGTTTCAAAATCCATTGCAAGAGAAATAAGAAATCAACAGCATAATTTTTTACATTTTTAGAAATCATAAAGTCTTTCAAGAGAACATATTAAATAACTACAGTGCTGATCTTGGTGGTTCCATTTCCAAATTAATCGAAGCTCAGTCTCAAAGAACTGCAATTTCAGGAGATGTTCCTTCTCCTTCTTTATCCTTCAGTAAAATCTAATAGAATTAGATTTCTGAAATGCTGCCAAATAGTTTTAAGCTTGTATTAATCACCATGTCAACTGCATAAATGAACACAGCTAGTTATCCCAGTGGCCTGGCAGCCTGCTAAGTACTGGGGCAGTGACAAGATGTCAATGTTCAGATAACAGCACTTCTAGGCACATCCAAGAAACTTCAGCACTGAAGCAAGTGCTATTACCCAGAGTCTACCTGTCTCCCACAGTCACCACTAAATTAATTGCTCCTCCTCATTTCACGCTCAAGTCTACTGAACCAAAACAGTACCTTACTTACCTCACGCCCACGGGACAAGCTACCAGAGCCTGAAGAATTGCTTCCACCTTCTCTGGGCCATCCCCTTGCCACTGGCTCAGCTGGGGCACACAGGCCTGCGCAAGCTCCCAGTCTCCATGCCGCACGCACTCGCAGAAAAACCCAAAGAGCCGCTCCAGAGAGGCCGCTTCTTCATTTCCAAAAGAATGCATCTTCCCAGGACGAGCAGGTGACCTGAGGCAGGGAGACACAGGCAAAGCTGATGCCGTAAGGGTGCGCTGGGGCACCATCCCACACTTCTTCACACAGACAGCGCGCCCTGGGTAGGGACAGGCGGAGGGCCAAGGCCAGGCTACAGGGGGCTTCACCCCGCAGGGGCAGGGGGGTGAGGCGCCAACAAGCACCGCGGGCTGACAGTCAACGCGGCTGCCGCCCGGCCATGACCGCCCCGCCG